CAGGAACACCCCCCCCCCCTCCACCTCCCCCCCAGTCTACCAAAATCTGTGGATGGGCAAGTCACTTTCTTATATAAAATGGCATAGTATTGACATATAAACTATGCACATTCTCCTGTATACTTTAAATCTTCTCTAATACTTAAAATACCTAATATAGCATAAATGCTATATTATGTAAATAGCTGTTATACTATATTGTTTTATTTGTATTATTTTTTATTGTATTGCTCTTTTATATAGTTTTTTTGTTCTGAATGTTTTTGATCTGTGGTTGGTTGAATCTGAATGTGGAACCTGTGGATACAGAAAGCCAACTTAGTTTAGCTTCTGTGGAATCTGTGCATAGTAATTAGGATTTGGACACTGTACTCAGAGTGAGTTCACCTACTGGAGTCATTTCTTTCTAGCACAGTGACCTTGGGCAAATTATTTACCATCTCACTGTCCATGTTTTCACATTTTAAAATTGGGGAATGATGTAAGTATCTACCTGATATGGTTATTATATCTATTAAAAAGCTATTAGGTGTAAAACACTTAGTACAGTGCCTGGCACATAAGTATACTGAATGAATGTTGATTTGTTTTGAGCTATTATTTATGGTTGTTGTAGGCTTGTGGGCTTATTCCTGCTGTCTCCCATCCTTTCTTTGGTTAGTTATGGAAATAAGTACTATTCTCCATTTTCTGTATACTCATCTCATAACTGATCAGTTATTTATCTTTTAAAAATATTCTTGTTTAGAAATAATAGGTGGTCATTAAAGATTGATTTATTTCCATGTATTTCTCTTGTCAGTAAAAGGCATAAGTACTTTCTGGATTTTTGCTCATGTAATTACTAACCCCTATTCTTATTACCTTAATTGGCATGCCCTGGGAAATTGGTATTTCTTTCTATTTTCAGTTATTTAAAGCAATGGTGTAGAGTGGTGCTTGTCTTCAAAGAGGTACTTGTATGTTTTTGGTCATCTAGAATCAAGTTCTCAAATGGGGCTATTATAAATATTGCTGCCTAGACCTCATTTTTTTCCCCTGCTCCTGGAGGGTAAGTATAACACTGAAGATAAAAAAATTGTATCTGAAAGATGTGCTTTAAAAATATTAGAAGAAGCTATATTCTTCTCTCATAACTATCTTATACAGATTTGTGAAAGATTTTTTCAAGGGCTAAGTTCTTGTCATGCATCTGTCACTGCTGTGTGACTTTAGGCAAGTTATTTTTTGTATCTATAAAATGAGGGTATAGGACTCATTGCAGGGTAACTTAAAATAACTAAGAAAGTTTCAGTGCATGAACTAAATGATCTGTCAGGTTGTTTTTAGTTCTGAAAGGTATTATATAGAAACATGCATTTCTTTTATAACTTTACGTATGCATTCCTGGAGATACTAGAATTCTGTAAAGTAGCACACTAAAAATAAACATGGTTTTTGAGTAAAATAGTGCTGGTGCTGATTTCTCAAAACCTGTAGAATTTTGTAACCAGAGTCTTACAAAGAAGAGTAATAATGGTAATAATATTGGTATATTTAAATCACCATAGCATTTGTACCTGGAATCATAGTCTAATTGTGTTTCCTCCTTCTGTATGTTGGTCTTGAAAGACATTTGCTTCTAAGAGATTGATTTCCCCAGAATTAAAAACATATTCCAGTGGTAGCCATCTTTATCAATCAAAAAATTAGAAAATATAGTGGAAAATGTCTTCAGCTTCTTCATTTGCTAAGGGTTTCTATTTTAATTGTGAGAAAGCCTGCTTCCAATCACTTCAAAACAGAAATATGCTGAAAAAAATTGCAAATGATTAATAAGGCTTTCATGATATACAAAAATAATTTCCTTAGTTACTGTAATTTGATTTTATGTCCTCATCATTGTTTTGAAACTTAGAAAACTTTTTCAGCCTTTGTCAGTTTTGATGAGTGTCGAATGGTCTCTCAAGGTTTTGGTTTTTATAAGGATATTGAGCATCTTTTCCTATTTCATCATAGGTTTTTAAAGAATGGAGAAAACTTAAATATGAGTATTACTTGTTATAATTTCTTCTTTTACTTATTATTCAACAGGTCCAAAGAGATTAAGATCTCATATTGAGGTGCAAAACTAAGATGAGAAGTCCAATGGCCCAATTTCTATGGCAAAACCTCCCCATGTTCCCTATGTACTGGGAAATATTAATTTCAAAAGTTATTAATAAAGAAGAAGGAAACTATAGCAATGTGAACATGAAAGTACCCTAACCCTAGAGTCCTTGGTAAAGTTCCAAGTGACCTATGAACTTTCCCATCTAATAGGAATAATTCATTGACATGTTTCTTTCTCTCCCCAGTGAACTTGAAGATGACTTACTGGGAGAAGATTTGCTATCTGGCAAAAAGGTGAGAAATATAGGTCTTTCTGAAATGAAATAGTAGTTATGTAATTGTGCTTAAAATATAGAAATACATCACTTATGCATGGGATATATTACTGGAAGGTTGTTATAGATAAACATTTCATAAGTTGAATTTTTTTTAACATATAGAGAGCTGTCTATTAGTAAATTTTCTAGTAATTATAACTCAAGCAATCTTTTGAAGCAAATATTTTAGTTCTTAATATGTTCAAGGCATTCTAGCAGGTATTGGATTTGTGACAGCAGTACGTAAAGCTACTCTTTGCCGTAAAGAGATGTAACATTTGGAGGTTAATATTTTGCATATTGTTTCTAGAATTCACTTTGGGTATTCAGAGATAAGCTTAAAGATAAACATAGTAAAATAGACATTCATATAAATAAGATTAAAAGTCTAAAACGTAGTATAGGTTTTTCTAAACCATTTTGATCAAATAAAAACTTTGAAGCAATTATCTTTAATGTGTGTATATTTATATATCGTGTGTGTGTGTGTGTGTGTGTGTATGTGTATACGAGGGTACTTGAAAAAGTTCATGGAAGGATTTGTATTATCTTTTAACTTCATTTTTCCACGAACATTTTGAAATACTCTCATATACACGCACTGTTCTACCGAAGTATTTGCACATGATCAAACATACCTAAAAAGCAGAAGTGTAGAGCAAAAGTGAAATACAAAATTTTTTATTTTATTAATTAAGAGTTTTATAACACTTTCTATTCTTATTTAATATCAAGGTAGTTCTTTATGCTTAGTTTTTAAAAGTCTTAAAATTATGATGGCATCTTAATACCAATGGTTACTATACTCAAGCTCATTATAATTTAGGTTACAAACTTTTCAGTAATATTAGTGGTATAAATTCACATTTCAGATAGTGTGGTAGGTTCACATAGTTTGTCTGGTTTATCACATCTGGTTAGATTGCTCTTTTAATCTTGTTTGTCGTATAGTTAATTAAGATCTCACACTATTAATTACCAGCTCTACCATTTTCTTGTAACTTACTGTGTTGTATTATTATTAGCATTTTCTCTAATGCGTGAATTTGTTTTAGGATTCTTTTAAAGCCACTTTTCCTTTCTGTGTTCAGTTTCTTAGTGCACCATAAGCCTACACATGGTCTGGTTTTGGACTACTTGATTTCCCCTTCTTTTGATGGCTCTGTCATCATCTGTAAGTCTAAGAATTAGTTATCTGTAAATCCGTTTGCTTTAATAGAAGTAAACTGGGATACATCCAAAATAAATTGAAATTGAAAACGTGGTGAGAGAGGCCCTCAGCCTGTCTGTGTTGTGGTTCACACTCTGTTCTCAGGATTTCTGCTGCATATGTGGTGTCTGGAATGGGTGGGGCGCCAACCTCAGTCCTTTGTCATGGTCACCAGGAGGTTGGGATGGGGATGGTTCTTTCTATCTCAGTGAATTATTTTGCACACCCTTTGAAGTTGCTTTCACTGTACTTGGGAGTCCACTATCCTAAAGTGGACATTTTTCCCTTTGTATTTATTTAAGATACTGTAATGAAGAATAAAAGTTACTTGTTAAAAAGGTTTAAATGTAGTAAAATATTTTTATATGAAATTGGATTTTTATTTTTAGGGAAGTCTAATGTTTCATAGTTTGCCCTGTGTTTCTCCCCAGGGAGTTCCACCAGCCATAGTAATTTGCTTTTGGTGTATGCAAAGCTTGTAAAAGCTTTGGGCAGGATTTGTCAATAAAGATTGAAAGCACTATTTGGTATGGATGGTAATACTGACTATTCTGGGGGAGTAATCTTAGGATTTTTTTTCTTTTGGATGAAGCAGGAGTATGCTTGGTGAGGATGCTTTTTGACGGTTTCAGTGGGAGGGGCCCTTATCTCCTTTGGAATTTTGTTTACTTTGGAGGAGTGAGTTTTCCTCTCCACTCTTCTTTCCTAACGTAAAATAAATACATCCTTCCTTGTAGGAATCAAAGTGTTCAAAACATCTAAAAAAGCATGAAAAAACTAGATATAAACACTCATGACTAACATTTTGCTATCTGTCCTTCCATTCTGTTTTCATCTGTTTTAAAAAGTAATTGAAATATATAAGATTGCTTCTTTTTAATTTAATATTGTGTCATTGGACTTTTCTCCTTGTCATTAGGCATTCTTTTAAAATATTTTATAATGGCTACATAATACTGCAATGTTTGCATATACTGCAGTATACCTAGCCATTCCTATGTGTGTTGGGGTCGTTTCCATGTTATGACCTTTTTTAAAAAAAACTTTTTTGTGGTAAATCTCAAGCACATACAAAGGAATAGTATAATTTACCCTCATGCTTATGTCACTCAGTTTCAGCAATTTTTAGTTAAAGGCAGTCTTGCTTCATCTTTATCCACTCAGTCCTACCTCCTGAATTATTTTGAAGTAAATCTCAGTTATTATGTATTTTAATATACAAATCTTACTATGCTTTTGGTATTTTTTTCTTAGGAAGTTTCCATGAAAGGGAATTTCTCACCTAAGGGCGTGAACATCTTAAGGTTCTTGTCTTATATTGCCAAATTGCTTTCCAGCAATGTTTGATCAGTTTATGTTCTTAGCACCAGTATAATCGTCTCTCTCACCTTTCCCCACCTTTGGTGTCACTTTTTAAAAAGAATCTTTGTCACTGTGATAGATGAAAAATGATTTCTGGTTGGTTTAATTTGTATTTATTTGATTTCTAGTGAGATTGAACATTTTTTTCAGGTATTTATTAGTGAGTTTATTGCTACTGGTTTCTGACTGGAGCCCATGAGATGAGTACCTGGGCTGCCTGACCACTGTTTTTCCCACACTGGAGTCCCCATGAAATGTACAGAGATGTACCTTTGTCTGGAGAGACTCTTAGGGCACTGACAGCCAGAGGGGAGGTGCATAACCATGTCCTGACTGTGGACATGGTTAATTGTCAGACTGGGGGGCCGAATTTGTCAAGAAGGGAGGTTGTTAGGGCCAAGTTTTAAATATGTGATTAAAATGCAAAATTGCAAATTTAGAATGAAGCAGGTTAGTGTGACCAAGTTAGAACTTTTAGAAATTGGGTAAGATTGAGGTGGAAGTTGGCTGACAGTTTTTAAGTCCTTCTTTAGTTTCTGTATTTTACTTCTGCATCAAGTACTGCTAGACAGGTGTTCTTCTGGCACACGAAGCTGGTCTCTATTTCATAGGTGTCAGTGTTGGAGAATGTTTGGGGAACCATCTTCTCCCCTTTTTAAAACTCTTGCTGTCCCATGAAAGTTTCCGTGTTCTTGAGCGTATTAGAGAGAACCTTTCTTTTTCTTTCACACTTGCTTCTCTTCCCAGGGGAGGGATGACCTATGTATTTGGAAAGATTGGGAGAAAGGATTTCACTAGCATTCACAGGCACTTTTGTCTTCCTCTCTTGGGGTCTGCTTGCCCTACTTTTCTCTACACCATCCTGAGCAGAATGCTCTTGAGCTACTCTACCCTTGCCTGAGAAAACAGTTCACTACAGTTCATTGGGATGTGTTGAAAATCATCTTTGGCATCAAGGATTTAGCCTAACTCTCCATTCTTGCTTTTTTCAGTGAAGTAGGTATTTTGTTCATTGCCTCCTGTGTCTGTTATTCAGAATAGAGATAGAGGTTGAATCCTCAAAGTGATATTTGACTACCATTGGGGCCCACCACAACATTCCTTTTTTTTTTTTTTTTTGGTGAATTATTAGTTCACCAAATTTTTTTACAAATACTTAGAAGTTTAACTAAAAAACTCAAGAAAGCAACCTCTTGAGTGAATTTTTCTCTCACTGAATTATTAATTTTTAAAGATTTCTTGAGGTTTTATTTACTGGGTTGGAAAGCTAAACTTTGTCCGGTTAGCCCATGTCAGGCCTGCTTTATACCTGCTAATGGCATCTTTCACTCTCAACACTGGCCTCATTTGGATGACAGATAATATGGTCAAGTAACAGAATTTTTATTTTATTTAAGCAGTCTGTTAAGCAGTCTGTTTTGATATACACATCCATCCTCCCTTCCTCAAGTAATAAACAGACTACGTGACCTGTGTTATTTTTATTTTATTGTAGTGTCAATGATTGGGTGGAGTCTCTGGGGACAAATAAATACAAATAAGACTGATTATTTTTGGCTATCAGGAATACCGTAATAAAGAATGTACAGACAAGTTTGAGAAACCTTATTTTTATAAGGTGTGAATGTTAGAATGAGACTGCTTGCTTGTTTGTTTCAGGTGTATATAGAAAAATCCAGTCTATTTTTCTATTGTTGATTTTTAAAGGGTGTGTGTGTGTGTGTGTGTTGAGTGTATGTGTGGTTTTCACCGTCTTTTGGAGGATAAGTAGTAATTTATATACGTATATTATTTATACATATAAGTAATTTTAACGGGAGGAAAATGTGAAGTTCCCCTGCCCCCCCCCCCCCCCCCCCCCC